CATGTGCTTCATGTAAAGCATTTTTTCGTCGTAATGCTCAACATAATCTAGTTTGACTCTTTTTTTCTTTATTTTTTAACACTCGTTGTCGAACAGGACAAGACCGATGTTCAATTTCTCATAATAATAATCGTAAATGTCAACGATGTCGATTAGAAAAATGTTTTGCCATGGGAATGAGAAAAGATTTTATTTTGAGTGAAGAAGAAAAACAAAACGACGAGAACGTCTTGAAGAAAATCGACAACTGTTAAATGAATGTCAATTCTCTAGAGAATCGATTTCTTCATCAACGAATGAATATATTTTTCAGAATCACTTAGTGAAATTGATCGTGTAAGAATTCTACCTAAGATTACATTAGTGATCTACATCCAGCAATAAAATCTTTAGTTTAAGGCTTCAGACATATAACAATCTTTTACTCATTCAATCAGTGTAATTTACTTTTGTTTTCTTATTATCAGCGATGTTATTTGTAGAGAAGAAGATCTGTACCACGAATAAGTCGTTTTGAACGTTTTGTCAACCATATGATTATTTTTCACATATATAATGTCTAATGAAACATATGGAACCGTATATAGCTACTGCAATATAATACTGTCACAGCTCGATTATGACGCTATCTTGCTATCATTTTCGTTTTTCTTTCTTTCATCTCTTTAATAGTATATTTTCAAGCCTTGTAAATAGCTCGAGAAAAGGAAAAAGTATAAAATAGTCAAAAGCTGATGAAATTATACTCATTCTCAAAGAGTCAGTTCTATAGGAATTTGAGATGAAAGTATTTTAGATAAAGTTCTTTTAATTGGACATCGAAAAAAAAAAAATAAGTCAAAGGAAACAGTAAATAATTTATAGTTTGTTGTAAATTTTCTCTATTGATAATTGCTATTGGTTTTGTTCATAAATAAAAGAAAAAGAAAACTCGTGTTAAATAATGCTTGTCAGTATCATATTTTAATGAAATCGAACATAGTTCAAAATGAATCAATATAGACATTATTTTCAGCTTTTAATGGATACAGACAATGATAATCCTGTTAATGATGATAAAACTGACTTGAATAGGAAGCAAAATACATCATGTCAGAGTATTTCGATTAAAGATTGGTCGGATATTGAAAGTATTATATCAAGTTATTCATTGATATTTCAAAATCAAAACTCGTTATTTCGTTCATTTGATACATTTGATCGTAATTCGGCTTTAATATGTTGGTCAGAATTTGCAAGTCAAACCGCTTTGTATTTAATTCGTTTTTTTTAGGAGATTGACGAATTCGAAAGTCTAAATGTTGATGATCGATTTACATTAATAAAATATAGTCTTCTTCCTCTATATATGATACAAAAATGTTTAAATAATAATCCATTAATCGAAATATTTATCAATAGACGAAATGAAGATGTTTTAAATCGCCGTCAATTTTTTACTTTATGCTATGGAACAAGTGGTATTCGTGAGAGTTTCATGAGTTTAATACGATCTTTTTCAAAAGTTACTGAACAAGATTCAATTTTAATAAATCTTCTTCTTGTTGTATTACTTTTCTCCAAAGGTTTATCAATGAATGAAACTGAACCTGAATTAAATGATGAACTTGCTGTTAATCGAGCTCAATCGCATTATACAAAATTAACTTGGAATTATTTAGTATATAAACAAGGTGAAATGAAAAGTGTAAAACAATTTACACAAATATTAACTGAAATTGAAAGACTTCAATCATTTACAAAGCATTTTCGAGAATTTTTTCTTACACAAACCAAATCAACAGATACATTAGAGCGTTTTGCGCCACTTATGCAAGCTGTTTTAAATGTTACCTAATTTTATTATTATTATTCATTGAACAGCCTTTTTTTGAATTTAAAAATAAATTTTCTTTATTTGTCTTATTTAATATTTATGTCAATTAAAAGGTTTAAAGGATTCTTTTTAATCATGATTTAAGTCTGTTTTTCTATAAAGCTACTTTTATAGAATAAAGCCGTTTATTGTATCATATATCAATAGAAATTTGTAGATTGCATGTTTCCTTGTTTTATTTTTTTCTAAAATTCAAGTTTATTTTGAAATTTTAAAGAGCACACACACCAAATCTTTCGGTATTCAATACGTTTATGAAAAATATTCTTTCTTGAATCGAATTTTGTTATATTAATAGCTAAATGAATAGAATTAACAAATACTCGAAAATATAATCGATTTTATTAAATGAACATACATGTTTTTTAAATGATAAAGACAGGAAAACATAGTTTCTATTTGAAAAATTCATATATTGATTTAATCTTAATGGAAAGGTGAATAATCTTGAAATATTGTCTTATGCATAGAGTAAAAAGAACAAAACAAATTGATGATTTGAAAATATTTTATCTAAAAAAGATGAAAAACTAGATACGTTCAATAAAAGATTATAATCAAGTAAATGCAATCAATATAAAGTCGAATCCAAATTACAGAACTTTATTTACGTGTCGTTGTTAGGTTTTTGAGTAGTCTATTAATGTTCTAAATTTGATCGTAAATATAAGTTCAACACCTTGAAACTCCTGGTAGACCTTCTTTAGACATTCGTTAAAATAACCTAAATCTTACCCATTTCAGATGAAACTCATTCAGAGCTATCTTTTGACTAGTCTTCATCGAAATCTTACGATAAAAACTTGCTTTGTTTATGGTAATTTTAACGAAAATAAAATTGCCTAAAGAAAAAAAAAAGAGTAAAAGCTTCATGACAAAAGAATTTCAAAATTAATTCTACCAGATGAGCAAACTTTCTTCTGAGAAATGTTTTCTATTGTCTAATGGTTTTTTTGCCATGGAAACCTACATGATAACATGCAGCTCATTTGACTATTAGAGTCAAGGATCTGAAAAGAGCTAATGATAATTCAAATGATTATATTCCTAATTAGATCACGAAAGTAAACATTTTCATGATTTAATATAAACAAAAAAAACAAATTATGAATATGTAACTCGTTCTTTCTTTTACAAAGTTTATTGATTCAAAATGATCGAATACGAAATAATTTTTGCGTTATTGATTATCTTATAAATAATATTTAGCCATACTATAGGTCAAAACAAAATCATTTTATATTCATCATTCAAACTTATCCATTCAGTGAGAATTTTTTTATGAAATATTTAAAAAGTCTGTATGTTTGCTTGCTTGCACAATGATCATTCGAATAAAATATTTTCATATATTTTATGTCTGATAAGTTGTATTTATGTTCTCACAAATGCAGTAATCAGAATGTGTGATATTTGTTACGCATGAATGATTGAAAAGAAATAGACGTAAAAAAAGTGAATTCATTGAAAACGTTTATTATCAAATAAAAAAAAGTCAATGACTGAAATAGCGCAAAACATTCTTGATGATAATCAAGTCGCTAAGAGTGTGCGGTGGGTGTGTGAGTTGGGTGCACATGAGATGGTTTACACCGACACACTCCCTCACTCCCACCCACAGCTACACCCATATCCTCACCCACATCCACACCTTCACCTACACTTACGCAAGCCAAGCGCATAATAAACTCATTTGAAACTATTTCGATACTTGGAGTGTTGCAGTGGCGGATCTAGGATTTTTGCGTGTGCGATATCTCGTCTTCAGAGCATGGGACCCAGATGAAATTTATGGAGGATGATATTGGATCCAAATGATGAGTTTCTATGAAAGAATTTTTGCGATCGAAGCTTACGAAAAACAATTCGTTTTTTGAATCGCCCCCCCCCCCCCTCGGGTAA